TTGGCCGAGAGTGCATTGAGCCGACCATGGAGACGACACCGGTCCCGATGGGTTCGGAGAGCAGACCCCTGCATGCAGCCCGGAAGCAGGGATTTCTCCTTGGGGGGTTGGGGGGGGTTGGGGGGGGTTGCGGGGGGGTTGGGCGGGGTTGGGGCGGGGTTGAAATGAGGGTTTAGGGTTTAGGGTTTGTTTAGGGTTTGTTTAGGGTTTAGGGTTGAGGATCCAAAATATAGATCCCCTAATGTAGGTTCCTATAAAGTAGCCTTAGTAGTATAGGGCCCCAAATTAGGGGATCTACTCTCTAATGAGGGTCCCTCTTTTGGGGCGGGGTGTATGGAAGAATTCCCATACAAGCTGCACTCCCCAACAGGAAAGGGGAGAGGGGTGTTGCAAATAAGGGCTCGATGAAGCCTATCATACAGGTTCTGAGATCGTAGGGTAATCTGAGTGCTCAGAGGGGGCCCTTAGTCAGAGCTCCTTCTCGCACGATCTGGCTTTGGGATGCTGGATCTTCGACTATGCGTTTGGTCTCCATTGTAGTTCCTTTTTCGGCTGGCCAATCTCCATGGTGAGGATTGCGGAACCTTCATGCATACAACTCCCTGAGACAAGCAGAGGCCTTTTTTTTACCAGCACCCCTAGAAGAGGCACCGGCAGATTTTCCGATTGTAGAACCCTCGTCAATTTGATTTTCACTCTTGAGACCTCAAACCATGTGCCTCGCCTGGATTGTCCGACTGTGAGTGCCGAAACCAAAAACCCAAATTCTGCTTCGCAGGCTTGACCGAAACCCTAAACCCTAATGTACCCTAAGGGGGTAGGAGGGAAAACAACACTAATGTACCCTAAACCCCCCCTAACCCGTAAACCCTAAACTCTAAATAACGACTATTATGCACCATGCGTTGGGGGGTCCTGATAAACCCTAAACCCCTGAAGCCCTGGAACCCTTAAACCCGTGACAGCCCTACCCAGAGGCCCCAGAGTAGTTCCTTTTGGGGATTACCCCATAGGATTCTATATATGAACCCCAAAAAGGAACTACTTTGGGGGCTCTGGGTAAACCCTAAACCGCAACTCCTACCAGGTCCCTTCTGGGATCGGATGCAGCCTCGCGCTTCAGAACTGGAGGTCTGGGACAGTTAAGTTTGGAGGTTGAGGGTTTAGGGACTAGTGGGATCAGGATGTAGCTAGTGGGATTAGGGTTTAGGGGTTTAGGGGCTAGTGGGATTAGGGTTTAGGGGTTTAGGGTTTTTGGTTTAGGGGTTGAGGGTTTAGGGTCTAGAGGGATTAGGGCGTAGGGGTTTAGGATTCAGGGGCTAGTGGGATTAGGGTTTAGTGTTTAGGGGTTTAGGTTTGGATTCGCAGCAGGCCAGTTGCCAAAGGGTTTTGGGCTTCGGGGGTTTAGGGGGTAGGGTTTAGGGTTTAGTTTGAGGGTTTAAATTTAGGGGCCGGAAAGTTTGTGCTACTAGGGTTTGGGGGTGGCGTAAACATAACCCGTTCCCACCTGGGTTTGGATTCGTTAGAGTTTCTAGACACCGGAGTACTTGTTCAGGGCCTCGCTCATTTAGACTCTATGTTTTAGGGTTCAGGGTTTAGGCGATCCCAGCTAGTCTTGGTGAGCCGTATAGAGGGTCGGAGCAATGGTAGTTTAAATGGCAACTGGCCCAAGCACTCTAGGCATCATAGCTCCCAAGCATTCTTCGTTCGGCATGCGTTCCTGATAACTAACCCTTGACAAACCTGTTTCTTTCCTGCGAGGGCTTGCCTCCAAGTCGCCTTCAACCGCACAGCCGCGTATCCAAACCGCACCAACCCGGACCCTCAACCCTAAACCGTAAACTCCTAAACCTGAAATCCCGGACCTACTTCAGGAGTTGAAAATGTAGGCCCGACCTGCTTCAGGAATTTTAAATTTTGGGCCCGACCACCGCCAAAACTCCAAACCCGAATTCTAAGCCCTACCTCAAGATCCGAGTTTGACTACTTCGGCCCTATAAGCCCTCAACACCCCACTGCAAGTTGTCATCTCTCCGTTTCGCTACCTTCTTCTGGAGGTCTGAAGAGAGCGCGGCAGCTTTTCTTCATACCGAAAATGGTCTGCCCAAGGCAACCGACACCGACGCAGACCTCTCAGCTCTTCGAAAAGATTTAAGGGTTAGGGGTACTTAGAAATAGTTTTTAATTTTTGGTTATTATAATCCCTAAGAAACAGCCAAAACTACATGTTTTGCTAGGGTTCTACGTTCAGTATAGTTAAAGGTACGGGGTTTTGGGACGCTTCATTACCGTTCAGGGCTGTAAGGTTTCGGGGTCCTTTCGCCTTGGGAAATCCCCACCCGATCATGACAGGCAGTCTTCATTTGGTGGGGTGGAGTTGGAATGAGTTGTTTCGTGTTTTCAGGCCTGAAATCCTCACAGGAACGATAATGCAATGGTTCAGGCCCCTTGCTAGCATGCTGAATTCCTGAACCCTAAACCCCTAACTCCGAACTCCTAAACCCTAAACCCCTACCTCCGAACTCCCGAACCCGTGAGAGTTGCTTCAGGTCGTAGACGGTGCTGCAGCGCAGGACTCTGAAAGCAGCAGCAGTGCCTCGGCTGATGTGAAGCAACCCTCTGCTGTCTATAGTCTCCTTAGGAATTACTTTCTGTTTTTGTTCATATAAAGCCCCAGAGAAAATTAGAAAATATTGTTTTTTTGGGGGTTCTAAGGATGGTATAGCTGTAGGCTTTGGGGTCTAGGGTTTCCTAGAAAAGGACCAAACCTTTATACTTTTTGGGTTCTTACAGTTTAGTCGGAATCGGAAAGTTTAACCTTTTATTTCTGTGGTTTATTGGGGGAGTAAGGTTTAGGCCTAGCATGGTGTATGTAATTGGGGCCTATAGGGTTTAGGCCATATACGGGGTTTAGGGTGTGGAGGTTTAGGGCTTTAGGGTTTGGGGTGTAGGTCCTGTAGTAGTAGGCGTTTAGCAGTAGGCGTTTAGCAATTAGGGTTGCGCAAAGGCCTGGATCCGTTTTAGGGTTGAGGTGCATTCGTTGGCAGAAAAGGGCTCAGGTTTAGGATCCGGGCTTGGGGCTTTTCGCAGGTCTTTGGGCGTAAGGGTTGGGTTCGGAACTTGAGAGCATCTGCGTGGCACAGCTGAGCCCTAAACGTGGTAGCAAACCAGGATCGAGTCGTCAGCCTAGTCCACTACCACTACCTGCGCAGCTTGGCGCAGACGTCTCCAAAGAGGAGGAAGCTGCTTGGCAGGTAGTTCCCTTGCTTCGAGTTTCCAAAGAATTTCCAGGTGGATTGGCCCACAATGCCTGTCCAGGAAAGGGTTAGTAATAATAGTATAGGCCATCGTAATTATGACCACAGTAATAGTTTGCGGTACTATTGTGTTTGGCTTAGGTCGAATTAGGGGTACATGCAGACGCAACTCGATATGAATTAGTTACCTTGCTTAAAGTCCCACCCACGAAGCCTCGAAGCATATGCGCCTTAAGCCTTAAACCCAAAACCCCGATTGGCCTTATGTTAGCTCAGATGGTTGGGCAGATGGTTGGGCAGACATAAGAAGTAGCTCAATAAACACGATCAGTCACAACCAAGGCTGAAGGGGGCTCACAGCCCTCTGGCCTATTTCGGCTGGTAAAGCTCGCCAGGCGAGCGGTTCGGGACGAAGTGTCCGACTCTTATCTGGGTTTAGTTTGGGGTTTAGGGGAGGATGTCGGTTTTATGTACAGGGTTCAGGGTGCACGGTTTCCCGGCGACGAAGCAAGCCTGCTGCCAGGGTTTGGGTAGTGACCCTAGAATAACGCTGGGAGCAGTTGGGCGTAAGCCCACAGGTCTAAGCTATAATCCCTAATGTCTACTAAATGCATAACTCACTCCCCAAATACCGAACCTGAAGACTTAAAGGAATGACCTGATGAAACGATTTCGAAGGCAAAAACAAATAGCCGCGAACGCATGAAATCCCAGGAATGGGTTCCGGATGAGGAGGAGAAGGCGATCATCGCTAGGGCGGTAAAGCGCTTGCAGGCACGGCTTGCAGGTGCTGTCGACCCTTGCCGCGACCTCCAGTCTTGTACTGTAAGCTATGGAGTTCAGCTTTGGTAGTGGGTTTATGTAATATTCCCTAAACCCTAGACCTCTAAATCGTCTAAAAAAAGACCTCTAGTGTTGATTATGAAAATGTAGGGATCGTAAAGGGATCATGGTTTGGGGTTTTAGGCTTCAGGGCATTCAGCATTGCATCGGGTGTTTAGTCTTTAGGATTCAGAACTTCTTGGGTGTAGGGCGTCCTAAGGATTTTGGGTGCTTCGGTTGCAAGCTTCAGAAGGGCATGTTTGTTTGTCTGGAGTTCCGGCTCTTCGTGTCCGGGGTTTAGGGTTGATGGAGCTGCGATAGCTTTTGACAGCCCGGCGCTGATAGAATGTACCAAGATCGCGATAACACAGCGCAGTACGACGACGTAATACCTTTCGTGTCGCTTCCGGTGTTGAACTTGTGCAGAACAGCGATGTAGACTTTGCCTTAAACCATAAACCCTAAACCTAAACCCTAAACTCTAGGCTTCTACGGTTTCCATCAGGTTGGTCGATTTAGGGCTTCGTCTTGCAGCCCCGAGCTCTTGAGAACTAGGCCACGCAGAGGGGAGCGAGGCACTAAGTTCGGGTTTAGGGTTTAGGGTTTATTGTGTTTATTTTGTGGCATAGGCTGCAGGGTTTCGGTGATTTTAGGGCTTCGGGGGTGCATTGGAGTCTGAAGAAGCTGTTAGTAATCCTGTCCCCATACGATGACTGCTTGTCTATAGTATGCTGCACATCGAACGCTAGTCAAACGATCGCTATTCAAACGATTAATGCTCCTAGATTTCTCTACTAACCCTTCATCCAAGCACTTCTCCTCACACATGTAGATGCATACATATATATTTTTAGCTATCTTCTTCTTCTTCTTCTTCGCAGGACTTCAGAGCCGTCATGCGGCGCGTCCCATGCAATAAATTCAGGTGAAACTAAGCGGCTGTCGGGCCGGACGACGATCCCAAAAAGAGGATGTGCCGCTTCTGGGCCCCTCCGTCGATCGGCTGTCCAGGAAAAGCTCGACCCAGGAGAGGAAGTGGGGATCCGGATAGAAAAGTCGTGACATGAGGCCGAGGTCCGCATCCTCGCCGAGCAAGTCCAATCGCTCACTGGCAGGAAGAGCGTGGGGGCCGTGCGCTTGGATCGAAGGCAGGGCCGCTTGGTACGAAGTCCACACCCCGGCCCTGAGGCCACGCGCCTGCTTGGTAACGGAGCCCTCCTCCAGGTGCATCTCTTCCACAGTCAAACACGGAACGAGGAGGCAAGTCCGGAGCATGCAACTGGACGTTGTCCGCAGGTGCTGCTGGTGCCGGGCAACTGTGCGAAAACACTTAAGGCAACTGACGCAGGTGCTACCATGAGCCAAGTGTCTTGCGGGGGAGAAAACCCGGTGGGTCCGCGCAAGGTGGACACACAAGTGTTTTCGAAGTCGGAAGGCAGCCCCACACCAAAGGCATGTGTAGGGGACCTCGGGGGTCCCAGCAGGCCCCAGCTCACCGGGCGAGGCTCGCTCGGAGACGTGGCACACATGAGAATTCCAAGCATCAAGGTCCTCCTGTGCCTGACGACAGGCCGCCTTGACCTGACGGACCCACCATCCTGGATCATCATAGATGGCTTCCAAAAGGGAGGCGACTGGAACACGCGTGCCTAAAAGAGTCTCGGCAGCCCGGCCATACTGGGCAACATGCACAATGTCTCCGTGAACCTGGCTTAACCAAGCCTTACGCGGACTTTCGTGCCAATGTACAGTGAGCAGATGAAGGAGGGTGGATGGACCACGGCTGGTGATCTGTCTCAAGAGCACAGCCCGGGCCAAAGCAAGAGCGAGTGGAGGTGGAGGAGCTCTGGCAGGACCCAAAACGGCATAGCAGTGTCGGAACGACTCGCCCTTTCGACGCCGCCAGAGGCTTCGCCAAAGAGCCACGTAGTGTTTGGCCCACAAGCGCTTGTGGATACCAGACAAAAGGGACAAAGCAGCACTGCCAAAGGTGTAACGCGACATGGCCAACGACTTAAGGAGGTGTCGACGAGTGTCGAAAGGGATGCCCACCTCAGAGAAAAGTCTGGCCCGTAGTGGGCGCACCACATTCAACGCAAGAGAATGGCGAAGTCCAATCTCTGGGACAGGGGTCCCTGACACCGTGGCAATACCTCCGAGGTGCTTGTACGCATCAACTATGGGCAGTCGGTGCTCAACACCGGAGGCTGAGCTGGTGACCACAAGGAAACGGCCATCCTGGTCAGACAGCACCGGAGGGGACTGCTCCTCCACATCCGACATCACTGCAGCTGTCTTGTCGGCCGCAAAGGTGAGCTCGATCCCAAGAGCCTCGGCTTGTGCAACGAAGACAGAGACAACCTTGGTAACCCTCATGGATAGAGTCCGGCGGCACAACTGGCTGGTCATCCGGACGAAGTCGTCCGCCCATGACCCGCACTCAAGGCGGGGGGGGGCCACGGCATCCGGCCAAAGGGAAGGCCCAGCGGAAGTGGGCATAGGCTCAGAGAGTCCGGCCGACTCGAGAGCCCTTTCGGTGGCAGTAAGATAGGCACTCAGGGTGAAGCCAAACAGCACGTCGGCCAGGCAATCGCCTGGCCGCACCCCTCGATGTGTGACCGTAAGGGTGGAACCGAAGTCTAGCCGAAACCATGTACCCTCCATCGCGTCCGACAGGACTGCGCAAAGATGGTCCGAAGCTCCGGCCGACGACAGGGCACCGAGGCGTTCAAGACCATCTCGCAACTCGCCAAGGGCCGACGGGGGCACCCCCATCTCGTGGAAGAGGCGGCGTAGTGCTGTTTCGGTGTCACCTACCTGGGCCAACAGTTGCCTGATGACGCGGTAGTACGCTGCGCGTACATCGAAAAACACCAAAGCCCATGCTCGTTGGCGTGCCACCATAACATCTCTAAAGCCCCTGGCTACCATGGCTATAGACTCAGTGGAGATCCCAGGCACAGCCCCGGCTTGAGTATCCCCACGGACCGACTCCAGTGCCGGCATCAGGAGCGTACGGAGCTGACGGTGATACACCTTGCCAGGAATGCTGGAGACCAGTATGCTTCTGAAGCGGTCACAAGACAATGCGGCGGCCGCACGCTTCGCTAATGGCACTAGGGCGCCACCGCGCCATTCGACGGGCTCATACAGGCCCATCGAAGCTTTGGCAAACATGGGCACCAACACACGCGCAGAAGCCGGGACATCCAGGCGCAGGAGTTCGCCCGTCATGCCGTCATAGCCTGACGCCTTTCCGTACGGAAGGCCTGCAAGGGTCTGTTCGACCGCGGTAAGAGTCGGCACACAAGCAAGGTCAAAGACCGGCGCACAAACGGGTGCCTGGGCCTTTTGGTCACGCAGGAGACCTGGGTAGTCATCAGGGGCACGCAGCTCACCAGCCTCTTGGGCGGCAAAATGCCGACGCCAGCATTCAAGTCGGGCCTCGGGGCTGGTCGCAAGCTGTCCGTCTGCATCCAAGACAGCAGGCAAAGGGACAAAGGAAGGACGCCTGGATGCCCGAGCCTGTGGGAAAGCCGCCCTAACCCGGCGAAAAAGCTGTTTCGGGTCCTTCAAGTCAGCTAGGGAGACAGCACGGACCAGGCCGTCAAGGTATACGACGCGATCCGACTTGGACGCCCTACGCAGGAGCTTGCTTGTCCGGAACACCATCATGGCAGCCCGTCCCAGCCACGGTAAGTACTGACGGGACCATTGCAGCAAACCATCGGACTGAGAGGGGAGCAGGTGCACCCGAGAACAAGAGAGCTGCCAAACAACGAAACACAGAGCACGACGTCGGTCCGCGCAACGGTCCCTCACAGCCCGCAAATGGCGGCGCCAATCTCTTCGCCAGGCTACCAATTGCAAAGTGCCGACTGACAAGTAGGTCTGACACGCACGGGCCGGGGCAGGAGGACACAGTGCCGCGCCGAGGGTCCCCCAGGCCTTGGCAACATTCGCAAAGTGGGTGTCAACATCGGCACCCCACGCAGCAGCAGGGAGACGGGTAAGGCTTACCAAGTCAGCTGCATAGCCGGGGGAGGCAGAGTGGGGATGAGGTCGAATGGCCTGTCGTGTAAACTGCAGGTTCCCCTCGCCCTTGGGGCCACGCGAGAAGGAAGCAGAAAGAGTGGCGGGAGCGTGGTCATCACGAAGCTGCATGACTTCAAAATCCTGCCAGACTTTGGACCGTATCGAACCAGTCGGCCAGCTGGCTGGTACCGCAACATAGTCCAGACGATGGCCCTGGCCTCCAGGGGCCCACCAAGTGCAGCTAGGCCCGGCGTGGCACGCAGTAAAAGTGGCCGGGACCCATAGCTGCTCACGGGCCAGGAAGGAGTGCCATGCCTGTCCAGAGGGATTTTCCGTCTCAGGGTCAAGACCACCGATGGCATCGGACGTGTGCTCACCGACCCGGGCATTGGCGTCACAGAGGACAAGGATCTCGGAGTGCCGAGGGCGCCGCTGGACAAAGCGACTGCAACGTTTCCAGAAGCGCTCGGCCGACCCTGCAGCAGCAGGAGGTTCTGAGGGGGCGTGCGCCACGACAATGGTAAGAGAAAGGTATGGCGCACATACCTGTACCACCAGCATACGGGGCTCACACGCAGTGACAGTGAAATGTCGGGGCTGCAGGCGGAGTTTCTGTGCACCCTGGGAGGCGTACGGGACATGTTTGCTGGCCCATAACGAAACCCCGAAATGTCCACGTTCATCGGCAGGGGCACACAGCATGATAAAATCTCCGTCGGGAAGCGTAGCCTCGTCACGGAGCCTGGTCTCCTGTAGGCCTGCCAAGAGTAGGTCAGCTGACTGAAACTGGCGCTTGAGAAGCTCCCTCTTGGCCACGACACGCATACCCTGTCCACAGGCCGCAGTCGTGGCGGCATTGGCCGATGCGGGATCCAAGAGTGAGAGGACATTGAAGGTTGCAACGTGAAGGCACAAGAGCACTGTGGTGGTCTCACGCGTACCAGCTCGGGCCCCCATGGTAGGGCGTGCGTCCCCACGAGTCCGCACTGCTTGCATCCGGGCAGCTTCTGACTCAAATGCAAACAAAGTGGGAAGATCGGCCGGGGACAAATGCGAAAGCCAGCCCCCCAAGCCCGCAACCCATGTCGGAAGAGGCTGCCTGGCCAACAAGGGAGCAAGTGTCCACACCGAGCACCATGGCAGCGTCGGGCCAACTTGGATAGCTCATCGCACAACTCGTTGGCGACATGGCCCGTGTGGGCCCGAACGTGTTCATGGGAGATGGCAGCTCTGGAAGCCGCGAGCTGTCGCAGGTGGCACAGAAACAAAGAAAGTTCGGACGGCTGGGCAGCCCCGGGCTCTCTCGGGGCTTTGGCAGTACCAAAAGCGCCGTGTCCAGCTGATTGGCAATCATAGCGAAGGATGACGGGGAGATGGAGCCCCGTCCCGAACTGGATCACCCAGCACAGTCCCCAGGCAATGGCAGCCTGTTCACAGGTCAAAGGGATATCCAGAGCAGCGCCAACAAAATGCGGGTGGTCCGGAGGGACAAGGACATCAGCGGCACAGCCTAACAGGTACTCCTGGGGGCCAGGCAAGGCCTCAACCCATACTGACACTGCCCAGGCGCCCGGAAGGATGTCGGCAGAAGTCTGTACCGGGGTGGTGGAGCCATCTGTGTAGACAATGATCCGTGACGGGACCAGTCCGTTAGAGCAGTCATGCCATTTGGGAATGCCCCGAAAAAGAGTACGCTTGGCTGCAGGGACTTGTCCGTCCTGCTGCACGGCACGCAGATCTCCATCCAACCAATCCACAAGGGCGGCCGGATCCTCGACGTCGCCCGGCACCGGAACGAGAGTCTGAAGTTCCAAGGCAAGCTGTTGGAAGGCTGACACAGGTATCGACGTCTCCAAGGAAATCTGTTTTGGCGGCAAGACAAGTGACCCCGGCGGGAAGGCCGAAAACAGGACCTCCAGGGTAACCGCTGCAACAGCAAATGCCGGACAGGCAGAACACTGTGAGGCTTCCTGGAGCAAGGTAGGACCACTGCAATCAAGCCCGAAAACCTCTACGGGACTCGAAACTGGAATACAGGATCCGGCAGGCACCGGCTCAACATGTTCTTCGTCAGAATCGCTACTGTCATCGCCCAGCAGGCTAAAGACTGCAGGGCCGCTGCTGGGCAGCCTCAGTGGGCCCCGGCAAGGGGTTGCAATTGTCCGACCTGTCCAGCGGCTGTGAGTCGCAGGGCCAACAGCTCCATCCTGACGGCACGAACTCTGACGCAATTGCATGGCACTACCCCGAGGACATGCCGTGGCACAGTGGACAAGGAGCAACCAGAGAAGAAGCGCACGGGTGCGACAGTGCGGCCCTTGTGCACACCGGGCTCCCAAAAGGAGAGCAGCAAGGGGCCATCCAAGGATCGGGCAAAGGGCGGCTCCTAACCCAAGCCAAATGCCTACAACCAAAAGGGGGCCAGAGGTGTCCCTAGGGAAGCCCCAGCAACGGGCGTCTTGCGTAGAACCCCAGTTCCACATGACCCTTACATCTGAATGGCAGGCATGGCGGGCAGGAAGCAGACCAGTAACACGCGATCCCATTACACGATGTGGGCTGCGACTCCGATCACCAGGAGTCCCAACCGCCTCTCCCATGGAGGTCGCTGCAACATCGGAGCCATCATCGGAGCCAGGATCAAGGCTGTCCCTGTCCAGCATCGAGGGGTCGTCAGGGGCCGACGAGTCCCGGTCATCATCATTGGATTCATCCGACCCAGTGACACTACTGTCCGGAAGGACACGATAGTCAACTGTCAAGACCTGACCCTGTTCGAAATCAAAGTACAAGCCATCATCCTCATGTCGAGGCCGTGCTCCACTGATGGAGACATAGTGGCTGGCTGGACAAGGGCGGGAGAACCGGTCCACCAAGGTCTGCGCCCTAATGGAGAACCCCGTGCAAAACTCCCAGGTAAGCCCAGCATGTAATGGTCGTAGGTCCAGCAGCAACACCCCACGAGGAGCTCTAGTGACGGGATCAGTTAAGGGAAACTGCGTCGCAATGAGCACATGTTGCACGGGGGCCCCATAGTCAGAAAAATCTCGCATGCGGGGAACGGTCGGGATGATTTGCAGGGCAGCCAGGTCGTAATGCAAGCGATCGGCCAAATCGGCCCGAAGCAGATGGCGTCGCTCTGACATGACGGGATGAAAGAGAGGTGCGTCGTCACTGACAACATAGAACCATCGCTGCTCCTGGACGGGCAGGTCAACCTCAGCTGCCCACCCGGCAGGGGACAGAAGCATGTCAGCAAGGTATGCAACCGCAAAGGGAGGGTGTCCCTGCGAAACGAAGCTGACGGTGTAGCCGGCGTGCATCTCAATGACATCATCCGAACCGAGAGGCAACGGGTAGTCGGCAACATACACCTCGACTTCCTGCTCTGGCCGGATACCGGCAACCGCAAGTAGGGCATCCCTGGTCATGGCGGGGGATACCAGAGCCGCATACTGGGTCCCGTTGTACCGGAGACAATCAAACAAGGCCACGAGACCCCCATGCCAGTCCGCAAAAGCAACCAAAGAAGCGTACTGGGTGACAGGCTGAGGGCTTGCAGCAAGTAGGCGGTCAAACCGCTCCATCGGAAGGTCTTGACGCGCAAGCTGAAATCTCGCAACCGCCTGTGTGATGTCAAAGCCAGGCTCAACCGTAATGGTGACCACTTCTGGTGGGTACTCCGGAACAAAAATCAAAGCAGTAGCGCGAAACGGCTCACCGTTCAGGACTTCTCCGGCGGCAGGGGCCGGCCGCTCAAAGGCGGGCAAATGGTGCTGTGGAGGATTGCGTTCCCCAATGAAAGGCGATGTCGCCATCCATGCAGGACCCGACGGGGCGGCAGTCGAATCTCCACCAATGGCAGGCAAGTCCGGAAGGCGGCATGCAACCGAACCTGCATAGGAAAACAGCTTGGGAACCCTATCCCCGGGTGCGCTACAACCTGTCTGCAAGGTGGCGACCGTTGAGTACAAAAGCGACAGTTCCTCCAATGGCGGCAGTAGCAAGTGAGCTCGAAGGTCAACAGGCCCGAGCCATGGGGCACTCGGAACCACGTCCAGGAGAGTCAAAGCAGAGGCACCCTGGAATTCAAGAGACTCCCGAAAAACACCCCTCCTCACCCAGCTCGAGAGAGGGAGTTTGCTCTGATGCATTGCCCTGCCAAGAGCCTGCAAGCGCTCAGCATGGCCTGGTGCTGGAAGGAGCCTGACCTGGCCAAGAAAGGAGCCCATTGGGAGGGACAACAGGAGCGGAGAAGCCGCTGGACCATGACCAGCGGCGGGCTGGAAGGATCCTTGAAAAGAGGGATCCGAGGAGGGCGAACCTGGCGCGTCCGTTCGAGCATGTCGAGGACGGCTGCGTGAACGGGTACTGCTCTGGGAGTGATCATCTGTCTGATCCTCTTCCTCCCCGTCTTCCTCGGGACCCGGCCCGTCGGATTGTTCGGAGGGGTCTGAAGGCGGTGCCTCCTCCCCCAAGGGTTCCAGAACTCCGGCAAAACAGAACAGGAGGGTGCATCGGTGCCAGATTTCTAAGTAGCCCCGGCAACGCCTGCCACCTTCCACGGTGAGCTGCCAACCGGCCGGAGCAGGTCGCGGAAGAATAGCTTCCAGATCCGCATAGTCTATCCGCGGATGCTGTAGACTGAAGAACTGGATCACACCTCCAACCGGACGCAAATCAAGGAAGACAACCAGCGGGGCAGCACCGTCGGGCGAGCGATCCGCAAGGACAAGAGTGTCTCGAACTCGCATCCCGCGGAAACACAGGCGCTCACAGCACCCTTCGCCTGGGGAGTGGAAGGTAACAGACCCAGCTGGAACGCCCACGAACTCGACAATGGCTGTATGCAGCGGCTGGCCGGCGGCCCGTTGCCCACTAAAGAAGTACCGGCCGGCGCTGTGCAACAACTGCAGCACACGTGAAGTCGGCATCGCCGGGAGAGGCCCCTGAAAGCAATCCATTGTCTCGGAGGACAGGATGTGGTCGAGGGAAGGTAGGTCGGCAACCTCGTACTCAACCCTTATCAACCGGACTAGGGACCCATTATCTAGGTACACCTGCTCGTCATCCCGAAGTGGGTCATTGCTGGTGCCGACCATAATATGGCAGCGACCCATTGAGTATAGGCCGGCCTCCCGCCGAATCTCAGCAGCAGTGGTGGGCCGTGACAAGAAGGACCCAATGATGGGGCCTTCTTGACCTATCGTAGCAGCACGTAGGTCCAACACAACCCCACTCAATCCTGCGAAAGTCGTCCACTCAGGAATAGCAAGGAAGGTCGCAAACTCTCGGCTAGGCTGAGGTTGGCAGGCCACAAACATGGATGCATGCGGAAAGTGGGTATGCCGCAGGTGCCTGGAAACGTAACGCTCAGCGTCTCTTGCCTCACACGGGACCGTCCAATAGAGCTGGAGCAACTGAGGGTCATAGTAGGGAGACACCACATAGACCTGGCAGGCAACTCGATGGTGGACCCCAGCCTCAGGCATGCCCGGAACATGTGTCGAGGCAGGAAAGGCACGACCAGACTGGAAGTCGGGTGGAGGACGGGGCTCCTCAGAGGTTGTACCGGGAGCAGCATGAGAAGCCGGCTCTGCATCGCCGCGTAGCCAAACGTGCTCTGAATCCGGAAGGGGCTCCGGCGCACGGGACCCTGAGGCTGCATCAGAAGGAACATCTCCTGGCAGTCCCGGAGGAACCGCCCACACACACACGGGCTGGCTCCACAGGCAGCCAAGCAAGCAAGTTCTTATCCAGCCGGGGAGCCACGGAGCACGGCAACAGGCCGAATGAGGATGGCGGCCTCGCCGGGTGCCACGAGCACGATACTGTTCACGCCAGAGTCGGGGACTGGCACACGTCGCCAGGGGACACACCCACCAGATACAATCGGTCGCCTGTGTGCAGGTAGTCCTCCTGCGGCAGAGCTGGCGGGATCGCCGCTGGCCAAAGAGAAGTGCGCACACAGACCCTGAGATCATCAGCAGGGCGGTGCGTGCAAAAGCGGCCACCATTTCAACCACACGAGGCCCTTCCTTAATCTCATGGGTGCGTGCCCCAGCGCCACCGATGCACGTCTTAGGCACCCATGAGTACTCGAAAGTGGCAGGAAAGGCCCCAACCGGAAAACAACCACGGACAGAACTCGGAAGGGCATCACAGAACCCGGAGGAGCCAATCATAGCGGTCCACGCCCCAGCGCCACCGATGCGTGTGTTAGGCACCGCCCAAAACTGAAAGGCCTCGCGAAAGTCAGGATTAAGGGCCCTAAGCACCAACCAGGGGCCTAAACCACTAGGGTGCAGGGAACGAGAAGGCTGGGAAAGCTCACATGAGAACACATCCAGCAGGCAAAGGGAGAATGCCCAAGCCGGCCGGAACCAGCAAGCAGAGCCCATGCTAAAACAAGGCCCAGGAAGACGCCTTTCCATGGAGGAAAGAATCCAAGGAGTACCCCCGCATGCCCAAAGAGGGAAGGCGGTGCACCCGATGGTGATAGGGAACAGCCTGCTCCGCATGAGGTCGGCCAAAAGCCCATGCCGACTCCACACAGTGCAGGTGTCGTCGAAAAAGAGGAGCAGACCTCGGCAAAAACTCCACATGTTGCAGGAAATCCAAGACGGCCTACCTGCTACAGGTGAAACCATCTCCGGTGCCGGGGGTGACGGGGAGACGTTCCACCAGACCTCGCAACTGCCGACGGAAGCTGGATGTAAACTGTCCATGCACATCCAGAATCCGCTGACAGTCTCCAGTCGGGGGAACGTGGCCCGGCCCGCAGCCATCCAGAGATGTGTGCTCACTCCATTTTGGCCAGGCCGGGAGAGGCCTGCCCTGGTGCCGCAGAATCCAGTTCGTCCTCTTCTTCCACATCGATGGCTGGCCCACCGGGGAGGCTCTTCCGGAGGTCGTCCGAGAGCTTCCGGCATCGGCCCATGTCGCAGACCTCGCCCAGCAGTATCTGCAGCAGAAGCCTCGGAAGGGCCCGGTGAGATCCCAAACGGCATCATGGCATTGCGGCGGGCCGTCAGCAACTTGTCGGCAAGGCAAGCCACCGAGGTAGAGGCTGCCCGCGGTGCCGTCTTGGTGGCCTCCTTGACGCCCAGCCGGGCCTTGAGATCTCGCACTGCAGCCACCGACTCCGGGTCCATAGGCAAAACCGGAGGAGGAATCGGCGTGCTCGCCGGGGCTGGCTCCGGAGGAGCAGGAAGGGGGCTGCGGCTCCTCAAGAGGGCCGAAGGGCTCACCGCCTTGTACGGATCGACTCTGGCAGCACTCGGTGAGGCTCCGCTGTATGTGCGCATCGGGCCAGTGGCAGGCTCCGGCGGAGCAGCCAGGCCAGGCGGAGCTCCAGACGGTGGAACCCCAGTCATCGACGGGAATTCCCAGCCAGAAAGGCATCCAGGTGCCGACCCAAGGTGTCCGCATCCACGTCCATTACCGATCCATCGCCGGTACCAGCGAACAGCTGCGACCAGGCCTGATTCGCAGCCTTGTTGGCCGGGGCCGGGGCAATGCCAGCCATGGCCTTGGCGACCAACTCCTTTGCATGCTCCTCTTGCGTGGCTGCCTCCACCGCTTCGATCTCGAGGCGGTCCAACGTCTCCAGGTGCCTGGTGTACTCCTGCACAAAGGATGCCTTCAGCTCCATCTGATAAGCATCCCAGCGACGTGACTTCTCCTGGATGTCTGAGTGCAGCTTGGCCAAGCGGTTCTCCGCCTTGCGAAGCAAATTCACGGCAGCCTGGGCCATCTTTGCCAGACCACCTTTGTGCTGGCCATCGCCCAACCGTCGCTCCGACAGGACCGTAATGTCCTCCGCTTTCCAGTTGCTGTCGTAGCTGGGGAAGGCACCAGTCTGGGCTCCGGGCGATTGCTTCTCCTTTTCCCGAGTCCTGTAAGCACCAGGCCAGTAGCCAGGCGAGCGCCGCTGAGAGGCGTGGTAGTCCTCCCATTCCTTGTCTGTCCAAGTCCGGCCTCCCCGGCCGTCCTCCTTCTTGTAGGGCTTGCCTCCACTCCTTTTGCCCATGCTATGATGGGCCAGCAGCAACCGCACGTCTCGAAGACTGGGCTGAGAGCAGCTGCCGCGAGCTGCACGCACTCTCTTGCGAGCTTTGCTCCGGCGTCGCCTCAGACGACGATGCCACAGGGGAGAGGCCGGATGAACACCTATGGCGCCCCACGAAAGACGTGCCTGCGCGGCACTGGGGCTTCAGCTATCTACCACGCTCCGCTGGCGGGCAGTATTCTGAGCCCTATTTTTAACTATATGTATATATATATATATATATATATATATATATACATACATAGATACATGTACATACATATTCGGGCGAGCGGCGAGAACCTCAGGCCCTAGCGGCAACAAGAAAACCACACCAAAAGCCCCAAAACTCCGAACCCGAACCCTAAAGCCTCAGCCAAGGAGCCAGAGCGGGCAAAGCCACCCGGCATTCTTCTTTGGGTAGAGAGATAAGGGTCTGCCTGCATACACAACAACCATCAACAACCTGTAGTAGTAGTAGTAGTAGTAGTAGTAGTAGTAGTCGTAGTAGTAGTAGTCGTAGCCGTAGTCGTAGTCGTAGTCGTCGTCGTCGTCGTAGTCGTAGTCGTGGTTGTAGTCGCCCTAGTAGTAGTGGTGGTAGTAGTAGTAGTAGCAGCAGTAGTAGTAGTAGTAGTAGTAGTAGCAGCATTAGTAGCAGCAGCAGCAACAGCACAGTGGTAGAGTAGTTAATAGTTAGTATCTGGTAGTTAATGTTCAATAGTTGGCAGGCAGCAGTCGTCAGTAGTTAGTTGCCAGTGGTCAGTAGCATGTAGCATCTACATACCTAACTACCTACGTACCTTCATACCACCCCTACATACATACATACATACATACATACATACGGTTGTAAATACCTACATAAACACCTACATGCATACATGCACAGTTACAAGCTTCGTTTTGCAAGATCCGAGGCTGAGTCGTGTGCAGGTCGAGTTGAGCCGGCGGGAGGCTGCGAAGGCCCCAAGAGCTTCGCTCATGGAAAACCGTGGCCAGACTTGTCCTAAGAAGTTATAGGGCCAACATGAGGGATCTATCATATGGGGCTTAGAGGTTATAGGGCCGGTGTAAGGACTATCGATGGTGCTTGGAGGTTATAGGGCCAGTGTGGAATCTATTGTATGCGGCTTGTACGGCTTCTGGGGGTTATATGGATCAACGCTCGTAGGCTCATAGGGCTTGTTTGGTTTAGGGTGGGGCTTTAAACTAACTTGTTAAAATTTGCAGATCTAACTCGTTCAGTCTACCCCCAGTTGTTAACTGCGATCCCCAAGAAACTACATAATGTGCTCATATAGGTACTTGCAGCATTGATGACACTGGTCATCTCAGCAAGACGGATGGCAAAGCCATCCTGGCCGTACTTCCTATCCAAGCTGTTGTTCGTGCAGAACCGCTTCGGCTTTGATGGCTTGGGGGTTGCCTGCGCCCCACGTGCCAGCGCGCAGTGGGTTTCCAGTTCGGCGACAGGGGGCACACCATCTCCTTGGGGTTTGGGGTTGGGAGCTTTTCAGTTTGAGCTCCTGTCTTCGCGATTTGGTAGTTTGGTGTTCAGGACGTCAGACATCGAAGCCGCAGGCATACCAGCCTAGCGCTGCGACTGCGCTCTAGACCCTGCGAAAGCGCACTGTAGGTGCAGGTTAAGGAAGCGCGAACCAGATCCAGGCGTCCACAGACTGCATCCACAAGCCTGACTTGGTTCTTGATCCACCCTTGCAAGTTTCGGTATGCTGAAACATCTGAAATCTGAAGTCTGGTGTGAAAATAGGTAAGGAAGTATGGCCGTAGTGAAGCGGAGCGACATTGAATTTGTTCGTGGGCGCCAGGACCCCACAGCCTCAAAGCCAAAAACCTGAACCCAGAGTTCTCCACAGCTTTCTTTCTCCGAGCACCAAGGTAACCGAGCGGAGTATCAGCTGTCACAACCCGAGGGCTCGCAGCCGAGCAGTCCCATCTCAGGTCGCCGCAAAGGCGGAGCCCAAGGTGTCCCATGTTTCGGGTTTATAGCCCTATAGGGTCCATGCACCCGAATAGTAATAACTAGTATATACTTCGGCTTTAAGTAGTCCCTATATAATATATTACAGGTACTTTGGGGCCACAGTATATACTTTTTGGGTACATGGACCCTTACAATACTGTAGGGTTTCGGTTGATAAGTTTAAGGGTTCAGAATTGGGATTCGGGGTTGTTAAGTCTAGGAGTTCAGGGGTTTTGAGCTTAGGGTTTTCAAAGGATAGACTCCCTCAACTTTAGGATTTAGGGTTTAGGGTTTAGGCAAGCCTTTATAATGTCAGGTTTAGTAATGGTATAAGGGTTCCCCTCCAAACTTGAGCTCAAAGGACCTGAATCCTAGGCTCCCGTTTAGGCCTGACGGCAGGGTGTTTCAGCAATAATGCAGACGTCTAAACAATTAGAAGTACTATTCTTGAGGGTTCT